GACCTGAAGAAGACGTCACCCCGCTGGACAGGAGCCCAAGAAAGTGGCGACAGACTCGAAGTTCACAGCCACAAGGGACGGCAAGGTCTCATCTGATATGCATAAGGCGTCACTCCACTGGACCTCCCAGAAGCCCACGAAACTGGCGACAAACTCGCAGTTCGCATCCCTCAGGGACGGCGAGGTCTATCTGACCTGAACAAGACGCCACGCCGCTGGACCTCCCAGGAGCCCACGAATGTGGCGACTGACTCGCAGCTCGCAACTCGCCAAGAAACGGCGAGGCCTCACCCGACCTGAAGAAGACGTCCCCCCGCTGGACATCCTAGGAGCCAATCAGGATGGCGACAGACTCGAAGTTCGCCGCCCCCAGGAACGGCGAGGTCTCACCTGATCTGCATCGGACGTCACTCCGCTGGACCTCCCAGGAGCCCAAGAAAGTGGCGACTGATTCGCAGTCCATAGCCCCTGGGGACGGCGAGGTCTCATCTGACCTGAATAAGACGTCACCCCGCTGGACATCCTGGAAGCCAATCAAGGTGGCGACCGACTCGCAGTTCGCCGCCCCAAAGAACGGCGAGGTCACATCTGATCTGCATAGGACCCAACCCCGCTGGCCCCCCCCAGGAACCCACGAACGTGGCGACTGACTCGCAGCTCGCAGCCCCAAGGGACGGCGAGGTCTCATCTGACCTGGCTAAGACGTCACCCCGATGGACCTCCTCGGAGCCCATCAAAAAGGCGACAGACTCGCAGCTCGCAGTCCCCAGGGACGTCGAGGTCTAATCTGACCTGGGTAAGACGTTACCCCGTGACACATCTTAAGAGCCAATCAGGGTGGCGACAGACTCGAAGTTCGCCGCCCCCAGAAATTTCGAGGTCTCACCTGACCTGCATAAGACCCAACTCCGCTGGCCCCCCAGGAACCTACGAACTTGGCGACCGACTCACAGTTCACAGCCCCTGGGGAAGGCGAGGTCTCATCTGACCTGGCTAAGACGTCACCCCGCTGGACCTCCCAAGAGCCAACCAACGTGGCGACCGACTCGAAGTTCGCCGCCCCAAGGAACGGCGAGATCTCATCTGATCTGGATAAGACCTTATTTAATCGCTTCGCTCATTCCGCCGGCCCATACAGTCTCATGTCTGCCGTTTGCCCGAGGGCCTGGTGTCAATGCGGCGCTTTGGGGGTTCCTGGGGCCGCTTGGGGGACTCCTGGGGCGCTCGGGGGGGCATTTGGGGGGCCTCCTGGGGCCGCTTGGGGGACTCTTGGGGGCCTCCTGAGGGCCCCGTGGGGGCCTCTTGGGGCCTCTTAGGGGCCTCGTAGGGGCTTCTTAGGGCCGAGGGCTCGAAATGTTGTTTCGTGTTCCCTCTCTGGGGCCCCTTTGGGGGCGTTCTTGGGGCCCTCTTGGACCGTTTTGGAGGCTTCTTGGGCCGTCTTCGAGCCCTCTTGGGCCATCTTGGGGCCCTCTTGGGTGCCTCTTGGGCCCTCTTGGGGCGATCTTGGGGGCCTCTTGGGCCGTCTTGGGGCGTCGGGAAGCCGAAAAGGTGGAAGCTCCAAAATCTCTCAAAAACCTATGGAAAAACAATGATTTTTGCCTCCGGGGGCCCTATTGGGAGTGCTCTTGGAGGCCTCTTGGGGCGTCTGGGGGCTATCTTGGGCGTCTTGGAGCGATCTTGTGGCATGTCGGACCCCTCGTGTACCATCTTGGGGGCCTCTTGGGGGCCTCTTGGCCTTTCTTGGGGCTCTCGGGGACGTCTCGGAGCCCTGTTGGTGCGCTCATGGAGCGCTCGGGGGGACCCGGCCGGGACCTGGTCGGGGTACTTTTCGTCCGGGGACCCCCAGGGGCCGCCCCGCGCGCGCGAACTAGAAAATTGTTAACCAGTTACCGGAGATCTTAGCACGCCTCTGGCCCGTTGGGCCGGCGAATTCCGCTGGACCCCCCAGGAGCCCATGAACGTAGCGACTGCCTCGCAGCTCGCAGCCCCAAGGAACGGCGTGGTCCCACCTGACCTGACCAAGGCGTCACCACGCTGGCCATCCTGGGTGCCCATCAAAGTGGCGACAGACTCACAGTTCGCCGCCCCAAGGCTCGGCAAGGTCTCATCTGATCTGCATCGGACCCAACTCCACCGGACTTCCCAGGAGCCCAAGAAAGTGGCGACTGACTCGCAGTTCATAGCCCCAAAGAACGGCGTGGTCCCATCCGACCTGAATAGACGTCACCCCGCTGGACATCCCAGGAGCTCACGAACATGGCGACTGACTCGCAGATCGCAGTCCCCAGGAACGGCGAGGCCTCAATTGACCCGAAGAAGACGTCACTCCGCTGGACATCCTGGGAGCCAGACTCGGAGTTCGCCACCTCCAGGGACGGCGAGGTCTCATCTGACCTGACCAGGAGCCCACGAACGTGGCGACTGACTCGCAGCTCGCAGTCCCCAGAAACGGCGAGGTCTCTTCTGACGTGGCTAGGACCTCACACTGCTTGACATCCTACGAGCCCATCAAAGTGGCGACAGGTTCGCAGGTCGCCGCCCCCAGCGACGGCGAGGTCTCATCTGACCTGACTAAGACGTCACCCAGCTGGACCACCCCCTGCAGACGGACTGCAACGAGAGCCTCGGGATATAGGGCCGAGAGCTCCTGAGCGCGGCCGCTATCCGTGCCAGTCGTCCAGGCATAGCAGGCGTGGCACTTTCTAGACACCATAAGGGGGTGCGCAGGGGGTGGTCCCTGAGCGCGGCCGCTATCCGTGCCAGTCGTCCAGGCATAGCACGCGTGGCACTTTCTAGACACCATAGGGGGTGCGCAGGGGGTGGTCCCTGAGCGCGGCCGCTATCCGTGCCAGTCGTCCAGGCAAAGCAGGCGTGGCACTTTCTCGACACCACATGGGGTGCGCAGGGGGTGGTCCCTGAGCGCGGCCGCTATCCGTGCCGGTCGTCCAAGGCATAGCAGGCGTGGCACTTTCTAGACACCATAGGGGGTGCGCAAGGGGTGGTCCCTGAGCGCAGCTTCTCGCCTCGGGTCGCTCGGACGGGGAGCCTTCTTTCGTCCCCTCCTTCCCATCCTCCTTCCCATCCTCCTTCCCATCCTCCTTCCCATCCTCCTCTCCCGTCGGGGGAAAGAGAGAGAGAGAGAGAGAGCACCCTTCCTCGTTCGGGGAACGGGTTCGCAGCTTGAAGGAATTCCCTCCACGTCCTCATGACGCCAACGGGAAGCCCCTTCCCTTTGTCTTTTGTCCCGTCCCCGAGCGGGCCGTCCGTGGGTCCTGGGCCCGACGGTAGCGAGGGCACATTCAGCGTCAGCCACTACGGAGTCGGAGTCCTTGTGATGGACCTATTGAAAGTTGCCCGCCTGCGCGGTATTGAAACGCCCGGTTCGGTGGCTGAATAAGCTGAGCAGGTGCCGCGGGCACACAAGGAGGCCGAAGCCGAAGGATCGTGGCCCATCCCAAGAGAAGAAGGCGCAAGATATGCCTCACGTTGTCTTGCGGCTCGGCAGACCTCCGCCTCTGCACAGTAGCCCCTCTTTCCTTGTGGTATACGCTACCACCCTGCCGACTAGCCGACCCATGGCCGCCGCATCAGGGACCTTCCACTCTACGCGGTAAGAAGAAACAAGACTCAATCTAGATTGCTCGTCTCGGCATGGACATTACGTCGTTCATCTTGCAAGGTGGTCGGCGAACATCTCGTGCGAAAGGCCGACATGTACCTCTCGCCTCGGCGCCGCGTTCACTTCTACAGAGGATTGCATTCCCGCTGGGGCGTGGCGCGCGTCGTTCGCACGCCACTTCGTCGACGCGCGAGCGGGCGAAAATGTAGCTGTGGCCGCGGCGCCGCGCAGATTTCGCATGAAAAAGGCGTTCCCGCCTCGACGCGGCGCATATGCTCCGTGCGCGTTTCGCTCGGAAGTGGTGTCCCGCGCGGGCGCGGCGCATGGGTCGTTCGCCGAATCGCGCGCGACCGACAGCGGCAGCGGGGCCGCGCGAGAGCGGCCGAAGTGTCGACCTCGCCCGGGCGCCGCGCAGTTTGATAGCGAAAGTGGCAGTACTGTGTCAGCACGGCGCATGCCTCGTCTTCGTCGCGCCGATCGGAGGTGTGGCTGGTCCCGCCCCTGCGCGGCCCGTGTATGTGTCCCTTCGCCAAGTCGTACGGATGCGGGGCCTCGCGCGAGCGCCTTCCGTTTGCGAAATGGGAACGCGTTCCAATCCCAACATCAGGTTGCGCCACATCGGAGGGAGGGAGGGAGTAGGCGGGGTCCTCTGGCTGGCTCGACCTGGCGAACTTGACCACTACCATATCCGCGTCCCTCCCTCCCCACTGTACAGAAGGCCCTCCTTGCCGATTGTACTGCAACCGATGGGCCAAGCCAAGCGACAACAATGTGAGAATCAAGCTGTTCGGGGACACCCCAAGAAGCGGATAGAACAAGATTCAGAACAATGGGAAATGATGGGTCGGACGGGGAGGATGTCCGGCTTGAAGCGAGCGCACATAGCTTGCCTATTTCCTCCCTGTCCCTCCTCCTCCTCCTCCTCCTCCTCCTTTTCATCCTCCTCCTTCTCATCCTCCTCCTCTTCCCCCTCCTCCTCCTCCTTATCCTCCTCCTCCTACTCCTTCTTCTCCTCCTCCTCCTCCTCCTCCTCCTCCGTCGCCGCCTCCTCCTCGTCCGAATTAACCTTCCCAGTGTGCCCTCTTCCTCCTTCCAATCCGCCGCCTCAGAATTGACCCTCCTCATGTATCCTCCTCCTCATCATCCTCGGAGTCTTTGGCAACCAGTTGCGCTGGGAGGAGAAGGGCATGGTTGACAAGCTCGACGTCGGTGCAGGACATAGTCCTTGATGTAGGCTGCGGCCGAGGACGCATTGCGCATCACGTCGCAAGCTACACGGGGACCAAGGTAGTGGGCATCAACATCGGCAAGACGCAGATACGGATGGCAGACGAGCATGCCAAGGCCGACGGCACGCTCGGATCCCAACACGAGTGCGGAGGGAAACTACAATGACCCCGTGCCGTTCACGAACGAGTCTTCCGACGCCCTCTACCGCGTGCAGGCGCTCACGTACCTTCAGTATCTGGACAGGCTGCTCGTCGAGATGTTGCGGATACTGAAGCCGGACGCCAAGCTGTCCTTCCTCGACTGGTTCAAGCTTGACAGCTACAGGCCTGCTCAAGGAGATCAAGGCGGTGATCGGCGGGTGCGCATGCCACTCCCTGGAGGAGTACACCGAGGCCCTGGAGCGGGCAGGCTTCGGGGTGATCTCCAGCGCGGAAGCCAGCACGGACGGCGGCCACCAGTGACCCCCGGTGAAGCTGATGGAGCGATACTTCGTGGCCGCGGAGTCCGTGGTCTCCTTCCTGACCGACTGGAAAGTCATCCCCGGCCACTTGAAGATTCTGCTGGAGCGGCTCAACGAGGGCGGCGCGTCGTGCGTGGAGTCGGACAAGCTGAGACTCTCACCACCAGCTGGCAGGTCGTAGCCCAGAAGCCGGCATGAGCCAGCCCTCCGCCCCTGGATGCAGACCAAGTGTGTAGTCTGAGGGGGCATGCGGTACCAAAGCGTGCCGCCGACAAGTTTCACGACACAAGCGCTGAGCGCTGCCCCGAGAGGGTGCAGCGTCCCCCACGCTGTGGAGAACAAACAGACTGTCTTCGGAGAAGTCCTCCTCCTCCTCCTCCTCCTCCTCCTCCTCCTCCTCCTCCTCCTCCTCCTCCTCCTCTTCCTCCTCCTCATCATCATCAGTCCTTCTGGCACAGGCTTTCTGTGCTTGCGGCTCCCAAGACTTCAGAAGGGCTGGGGGATCGCGAGCCAGGCTGCGCGATTGAGAAGAGCCAGAACGGCCTCAACTCCCGTGCGTTCCCCTCGGGCACTGCCATGGCGCCCAATAGTCCAGGTGGTGTTGCTGCTGCTGATCGGACTTGGTTCCGTCGGTTCTGCATCCACCCACGGACGGGGGAAAGGTTCTTCAAAAAGCCATATCGTGATGTCTGCTACACGCGTCGCCGCTCGGAAGGGGCTTGCTTCCACAGCTACAAGGAGCCCAGGTCCCCGAGCGTGCGCAAGGTGCGATGATTACTTGATCAGGAAGAACTAAACAAGGCACCATGAGCGCAAACGAAAGAGCAGCTTCAATAAGCACAGGCAACTATCCGCAGGTTGGAGGCCCAGCTTAAGGAGCGAGCTTCGGCAGATGCAGCAGCTCGTGGTGACTGCCTGGACGTTGAGCTCAGCGGAAGAGCAAAGTGCAAGTGTAGGTGGCAATGCCGGATCAACTGGCAATTCCGATGAAGGCAAAGCCCGTGCACGTCTCGCTGATTTGAACAAGCAGATTGAAATAACAAGCAGGTGTGAAGGTTTAGCACTGTCTTTTCTTTAAGAATATCTCACCTAAGAGCGCGAGTCCATCCAGACGGACACTGACAAGTGCAAGCCAGCGGCGGCAAGGATGCTCGACCTCACTTGCAAGATTGAAGCCACGGGGCTCTAAGTGGCTGAGCAGGAGAAGGCGGTGGAGGATAAGCGCTTGCAGCTCAGAAGGTCAAGCTCGAGGAGAGTGCGGGCCCAGGCGATGGAGGTTGCCAAGTCCAGTGTTCGTCCACCCGAAGGGGCAGGTGAAGGCTCTGAGCAGAAGGTCACCACCATCGGCTTGGACGCGACAAAGTTGGGCGAGGTTTTCCGCCCTCCTGGGGCCGGTGAGCAGAGCACGCAGACAAACTGGCCGAGGGGATTGCGAATGCTATGCCGCAGACCATCGCCAATGCTTAGGTTACTGCGCTTGGCAAAGATGGCGACAATCTTCCTGCAGTTGCTGCTGCTGCTGCGGAAACTGCTCGAGTTCATGAGCAGCGAACCCAGCAGGAGAAGCAAGAGAAGGCTTTCGAGGAGGCTATAAAGGATGTGTTCAGGACAATGTTCGACGCTGCGGGAGGGGTAACAGCTCCTGATGCTGAGGAGAGGGTTCGTACGGCGGCGAAACAATTACTTCTCTTCAGGTCGCAGTCCAAGTTCGGCACCTTCCAAGCTCATTACATGGTTAGCGGTGTCTGATGTGTTTTTCCCTTCATGTTTCGTGGGGTTATGGTTTTCTTCTCCGCCGCGTCTCACCCGCGTTTCCCCTCCGCATACTTTTCCCGCCTCGTCTCGCGCCCACATGCCCACATACACATGATACGCACGCTCAAATACAACCGCACACGCATCATGGGCACCCACATGAGACACGCGTGCAGAATACGGCACACCGACACCGACACATACACACAGACACACACACACACACATACACAAACACACACAGACACACATACACTCCCTCACCCACGCGCAACACCTGCACGGCACGTACATGAGACACGCGTAGCACACTTCACACCACAGCGCAACGCAGCACAACACAGCGCTGCTCAGCACAGCTCAGCTCAGCTCCGTCGCGCGCTCGCAAAGCGCGGCAGGCGTGGTAGTTCATCGACACGAGAGGGGGGCGGCCGCTATCCGTGCCAGTCGTCCAGGCATAGCAGGCGTGGCACTTTCTCGACACCATAAGGGGTGCGCAAGGGGGTGGTCCCTGAACGCGACCGCTATCCGAGCCAGTCGCCCAGGCATAGCAGGCGTGGCACTTTCTAGACACCATAGGGGGTGCGCAGGGGGTGGTCCCTGAGCGCGGCCGCTATCCGTGCCAGTCGTCCAGGCGTAGCAGGCGTGACACTTTCTCGACACCATAAGGGATGCGCAGGGGGTGGTCCCTGAGCGCGGCCGCTATCCGTGCCAGTCGCTTAGGCGTAGCAGGCGTGGCACTTTCTCGACACCATAAGGGAGTGCGCAGGGGGTGGTCCCTGAGCGCGGCCGCTATCCGTGCCAGTCGTCCAGGCATAGCAGGCGTGGCACTTTCTCGGCACCATAGGGGGTGCGCCAGGGGTGGTTCCCTGAGCGCGGCCGCTAATCCGTGCCAGTCGTCCGGCATGGGAGCAGGCGTGGCAACTTTCCTCGACAACCCATAGGGGGTGCGCAAGGGTTGGTCCCTGAGCGGCGCCGCTATCATTGCCTGGCGCAAATGGCATGCAGGCGTGGCACTTTCTCGACACCATAGGGGGTTGCGCGGGGGTGGTCCCCGAGCGCGGCCGCTAATCCGTTCTGCGGTCGTCCGGCATAGCAGGCGTGGCACTTTCATCGACACCATAGGAGATGCGCAAGGGTGGTCCCTGAGCGCGGCCCTATCCGTGCCAGTCGTCCAGGCATGGACTAAATTATGCAGGCGTGGCACTTTCTCGACACCATAAGGGGGTGCGCAGGGGGTGGTCCCTGAGCGCGGCCGCTATCCGTGCCAGTTGTCCAGGCATAGCAGGCGTGGCACTTTCTCGACACCATAGGGGGTGCGCAGGGGGTGGTCCCTGAGCGCCGCCGCTATCCGTGCCAGTCGCCCAGGCATAGCAAGCGTGGCACTTTCTCCACACCATAGGGGGTGCGCAGGGGGTGGTCCCTGAGCGCGGCCGCTATCCGTGCCAGTCGCCCAGGCAAAGCAGGCGTGGCATTTTCTCGACACCATAGAGGGTGAGCAGGGGGTGGTCCCTGAGCGCGGCCGCTATCCGTGCCAGTCGTCCAGGCATAGCAGGCGTGGCAGTTTC